GGGGAATTTTTGTTTATGTTGTTGTTGCTGTTGTTGTTGGTGGTGTTGTTGTTGTTTGTTTTGTTTTGGTTTAGGCTTTTTTTTTGTAAAACAGGTAACCAACTTCAGCTTTTCATCTCTCCTCCCTCTCTCCTACACATCTTACCTATCGCAGAGTTGGTGCCCGAGCCATCTGATGACCCCTGACCCTCATCTACTATCGCCCAGTCGTAAGCGTCTCCGTAACCTTGTGACCAGCTGCATGTGCCCAAGTCGAAGGGACAGTCGATGGACACCATTGCTGACGAGTAGAACAGGCAGAGGTTGTGGTTGGTTTGTTTAGTTTCTTCTGTTACGTTACTTTTGTATTCTGCTGTTTTTTTGTTTAGTTGGTTTGTTTGTTGTTCTTTTTGTTTTTGTCTTTGATACGGGGATTTAAATCTTTTTTTTTTTGGCTGAGGTAGGTTGGTTTTGTTAAGGGTTTCTCTATTTATTTATTTTTTAATTTCGGGTTTGTTTCCCCTGAAGGAAGGGAAAAAGGAGATATTAAGAGGGAAAAATGGGGTCGGGGCATTTTCCAACTTTGTTTTAATTGTCTATAATTTCATTTTTAAAATATATTTTTTCTGTTACGGGGGTTTCTTAGTTTAATTAGAAAAAAGGAATGGAGTGGATCTTTATGCTTACCATCAAACAATGGACGAAAAAGAAGACAAACGTGTAGCTGCCAGAGCTTGGGATAACAATATTATGTACAAATATCACAATATACTGTCATCTCAAATTAAAGAAATAGAAAACCATGTATGTTTCGGTTGATCACAAGGAAAAGTTCAATATAGACAATCCTGTCAAGCTGTCGCATTTTTGTATACTGTTTCTGAGTGTCTATTTTGTCTGTTTGTCTCTAAGTTTCCCCATATAAAATGCTCTCCTCATAAATTGTTGGGCTATAAATCGTTAATACAACTGCTACCTGCATCATGTGTCTTAACCTTACTAACGACCCGTGTCACACAAAACGACAAGCAAAAAAGCACTGAAAAAATGGCGATTGTTACACAAACGTATGACGTGATCCCGGAGATGAGGACACAGGGTGCTTGATTGGGGAGTTTGAGGCCGCTCACCCTGAGGCGAGGGGATACAGTATTGTGTGTAAATTGTTCCCTCTCGACTCGGGTTTGAGGATTCTGAGTCGGAATCTCCCCAACTTCATGTTTAAATAAGTATTGAGTCTATAGCCCAGTTGTGAACTTGCTACCTACATACCCTTTACGAAATCCTTAAAATAATATCAGCCACTGTACTATCTACCTACTAAGGTCCTCTCTTCACTTGCCTTGGCCAGCTAGAATAGGCTAATACTAACAAGATCACCATAGCAGGGACTGTGCCACCATTTCGGAACTCCAGGGTGACATTAAAGATGGTTCCAGTAGGGAACGGGATAGCGGGTGCCCACATCCCTCGTGACTCATCAGAGCAGAGGAAGATAGAACTAACGCTAACATTTTTATTTTTTTTAACAACAACAACCAAATAACAGAAGCATGTCTTCTTAATAATTATAAACATAAGCACCATCCCACATCATCACTTATCACCACCACCACCGTCATTCCTAAAGTCATCAACTGCTCTCATATCCTTCAAAAACATCTATAACTATCTTAAAAATATATATGTAACAGTTATGTTATAACAATTATGTACGTTGTCTCATACGCACATTTTTCTACTAATCAGATGGCGTCAATATCATAGAAATGGGCAAGGGGGAAAAGTCCGAAATGAGGCAAACTGCAGCAACAGAAAATGTCCAATTTCATTCATGGATACAGAAATTCGATAAAACGACTGTAACCTCCATTATAACAATTAATATTATTGTTCATTGTTGGTATCGGTGTCGTTTCGTGGGTGTGGAATCCCAGCTTTACCTTGTGTGACAGGAGCGGAGGTCGTGGTTACTGTTGGAAGTGGTGGCAACGTCTGTCCTGACGCTTCTAGCGGGCTCACTGTAGAAAAACAACAGATACAGACGCCACAGTCTCAACCGTCACATTGTTGGACTCATTCATAGACATATAATATTCAAGGCCATGTACAATGATGTTTTTCCAGTTCACCATGTCTAGAGACACTTTTAGGGGGGGAGGGAGGTGTCAGGAAGTTCTGCGAATAAATATACAAACTATACCATGTAGCAAGACTGGTGTTAAAATGGTGTGGAATAACAATCGTTGTAAAAGATGGATTCCTTCCCTAAAAACGAGACATTTTTGCTTTCCGTCTGCTCGTAAAAGCGCGGTCCACGGTGCACACGCTTCACAGCGAAGTTTTTATAGAACCATGACAGTGCACAGTCTAGGAGCACAAATCTATGGGTTCAAAATAGAGACATTATGTTGTATGCCCACTTTTCACAATCTTGAACCAGATAATCATGTTCGTTTGAATAAAATAGAAGTGTATCGACACAATAAGGGCTTGGAAAGCAGTGAAACAGACAGGCAGAAACAACAGAGGGGAAGAAAATACATAGGGCCTACCAGTAGTGTCCACCCCGCCCCCATAATAAACCCCAAAGTTTGATAATCGCGTTCTGATTCTGAAATAACAACACTTTAAATAACGTTAGCCTATATTTTTAAGCAGGGGCTGTCCACCCCTATCGACGCGTCTTGATTCATTTGTCAGTCTTAGAAACTAGTTTTTCCATATCTGGTAGAGCGCCAAATTGTGACATACAACAGAAAACAGTTAACTCACCACTGCAACCAGAGTAGCTCAGTGTGATGTCATCCAAAGCCCAGCTTCCATTGGTACCGAGAGTGGCAGAAAACACAATCTGGGCAATAAGGGGAAGGACAAATGGGAGGTAAAGAAAGTCGTTCAAAGTTCAAGGTTAACAAAGAGAAAGGGAGAGACTACTTTTCGAAGAACCATGCTCTCGGAGGTACTCAGCGGTTGTGCTAAAACGTCTTCAATCACAAAAATTATAATAGCTATGATGATGCTGCGAAGAAGACGGAGAAGGAGGAGGAGGAGGAGGAGGAGGA